ACAATCGACGTTTTAAATTGCGGCCACGTTCGGACGTCTGCCTCGTGGTTTCTAAGCCAAAGGCTGGCTACACCCGCGAGATAGAACGACACGCGTGTCAACTTGTCCGCGTCCGTCCATCTGTTTAAAGCACTCACCCGTTCGAAAGTCGAGAGCCAATCTTCAACGTCGTTGTCATCTGTTCCACTGAAGATTGGAGGCTCCCGCTGAGGAACACTGCCTGGACAGGTGGCCGGAAGAGATGGAAGCGTCTGCTGATCGGCGTCCGGCATAGCAGAAGGTAGCCGTCGAGAACGGAGTTCCAGGATGATAGCGGGAAGGTGTAAGGGACGGTACCCGGCACGGCTCCACCAAATATAAAGGAGATTTATTAAGCAGAAAGGTTGATGCTTGGAAGGCGATGCACCAGCCGCAATTCCCGAGCTCGAGCCGCTGCTGCACACTCGATGCTGCTGCCTCTGCGCCGGAGTACTTCCTCTTCTATACATTATTTACATTCCATTAGTTCTAATAACTTCCCCTATACATTCCTTGGCATTACTGTCTGTTAGATCTCATATATATAAAGTTGAAAGAAAGTTGAAATTTATTTCACCACAACGATACACCGTGATTTACACAAACAAGAAACAATTGTGGCATGGAAAGTAGGAAAAAAGCTGCGCTATAGCAGCTTGACTAGCCCCACCTCCCATTTGTACAAGGCAACAGAAACAATGGCACACCAAACTCCATACAGTGCTCACGTATGATTGAAAGAAAAAAGAAAAGAAAATAACATTCTAGTGGTTGTTTATGAAGTACAGAATAGATGCACACTTGGGTGTTTACAAACAAACAATTTTTGGGAAAAAAAGGCAACCAAAATAAGACGCTATAACAGAAAGGGGTACACTTAAAACTTCATGCATTTACAAGTACTGGGTGTAATTTTTCTGGGTTTATAGTTCCTTATACAAACAGGTTTAATATATCACTACTTGAAAGGAGACGCAATTGCTGTTCTGTGAGCTTGAACTTATTTATTATATGGGGAACAGAGTGCTTTAGCATTTGGAGTCCGTAATTTGTTCGCGGTCGGGGGATGTGCCAGTGTTCAGAACTCCGCATCGGACGCAACAAAATTTTCGGCTGTAAATGTGCTAAGCCTCTCAGGTTTGCACAATTCTTTCGAATTTCAGACCTCAAAGACAACAACGAGTTATGTTCATATGCAACACAAAATTTTAAAACTTTAAACTTGACAAATAAATGGGATGTGTGTTCTCTGTAACCTATATTTGCAACAGCCCGCAAAGCGCTTTTTTGAAGTGTATACAACTTTTGTTTTGATGTTTCAGTTCCAGAAGCCCATACCAACTGACAATAGCGTAGATGAGAACAAAAAAGCTTATTAAAGATAAGTTTCTGGGGGAGCGGTAGAAACGACTGACACCTTCTCAGCACGCCAAGGGCTTTTCTTAGCTTAATACACAATTGTTCAGAGTTCAGTATATATATATAATATATATATATAATTATATATATATATATATATATATATATATATATATATATATATATATATATATATATATATATATATATATATATATATATATAAGAGAGAGAGAGAGAGAGAGAGAGAGAGAGAGAGAGAGAGAGATGCGCTGAGACAGCGAGCGAGGACATAACGTGGGATAGAAGAGATAGGAAAGATGGAAACACGGTCACAGGAGTCCGAGGATGGGCACCACTTGCGAGAGCTCTTGTCGGCGTCAGGAGATGGGTAGGGCAAGTCCAGTAGGTCAGAGCTACGCTGACGTCGGAGATCGCGAGGGCACAACCGGTCGGCACGGAATCCAGGGAGCGAGTCCGAAATCCAGCGAGTGAGTCCTCGGTGATCGATAAGCCCATAGGTGTTCTGTGGATAAGCCTTTGCACCGGCGCCGGCGCGGCTACAGCGTGCTATGTCGCTAGCGTGGCTTCGGCCGCCGCCGTGGCACGTGCGATCCCGTCCTTATCAACTGCATGCGCTTAACAGTTTCTTGTCGGGAAAGACGTCGTCGTTATTGAGCTAGCAACAAACATCGCGTTTGCTTCCTCGTCCGTAAATTGAAAACCTTTTACGGTTTTATGACGCGAGCTCTCACTTTTGCTGCACGTGCGCTGTCGTACGTAATTAAGCTAGCTTGGCGAGTTGTCGTTGTTGCTGAACGTGAACGCTAACTTCGTATCACGCATGCTGTTCTTGGTTCACTGCTAGCGCGATCTTTTCGATGCCGAATGTTTTGGACAAACTTTCCGCGACAACATATCAAACGGCAAGCAAGGCCTAATCGGCGTTGGTTGCGCTTCAATAGGTAGCGGTCGCGTGAATCTAAGTTGCGGTTTGATACCGAATCAACGAAACTTTTTGCGGTGGCCGCACTCGACGCGAAGAGATACATATCTTTAATGAAAAAGAGGGCGGCACCAGTAGCGCTCAAACAGTGGTTCGCGATTCGATTACGATGTCTTAAATCGGGTGCGCGCCCGTCAAATCGATTGGTTGGCGTCTTTCAACGCGTGAAATTCTGGACGTGATTCGATATATTTTCTGTGTTATGAGCATAATCGAGGCTGTCTGGTAGTCAGCGAATTTCCGCGATGGTGCTTTCATTTGTTAGACCCTCCCTTTCGCGTTCATTTCATTGGCAACGCGTGTCTTTGGACGGTATGCATTCTTTTAACATTCAGCAATTTAAATGTTAGCAAGCACGCATCGCATGTTCCGATTCTCAGACAAGCGAAGCTGCATGCTCAACACGTTTTGCGCAAGTGCGGACGTGGAAAAAGTTTGGTTTAGTTATAGTGCGGTACCGCTTATAGCGCGGATATTCGCGACATACGTTATAAGCGGCCTATACTGTAGTGAGCACAACTACGACAAGTTGAACTTAGGCCTTCCTCCAGAGTTTTTTTTTTTTTAAACCATGCTTAACAAGAGAGCTGTACTTGTTTTAATTTGCTTTCCACTATGTTACTGCTAGAAAAGTACAACCGTACCACTTTCTCCAACTCCGGAAGAGTCGTGGCTCTGTGCCATGCAACTAGCAGCCCCCCTGTCTTCTTTCTTGCTTAAAAGTACTGCACCAATCTGTCACGCCAACCCTTAATAGTCTTCCCGTACCCATCTTTGTCTTTCTTGACCACTGGCTAGCTCCACTTTTGAGATTGGGAAAGAGTGAACTGGGCACATATAAAGATAACCGTTACGGAAGGCGGATGATATCCTAACTAAAGAAAGTCCTCTTGTCGTAACATTTTATCTAGCGACAATCCTGGTTCGAGTTTCCTTTTCATTCATCCCTTTAAGCTTCCATCTTCTGGTGAACTTCTGTCTAGTTATTATTTAGCATATACACCACATCTGTCTTCATTCTAGCTGAACAATGCTGTCAAAGAGTTACCTTTGAATGAAATCAGGCTAAATCCAGGTCAAATTTCATTCTCATGACTGGCTTCTTTACACATGCTACAAAGGGAAGCCGATCCCTTAGACCGTTGTGCAATTTGATCAGGATTGAGCTTAATCACGAGGAACACCATGTGACATTGCTCTTTCAGGTTTAACATGAGAATGGACAGCAGTTTTACTGCAATAGCACTGAAAAACCTGAGTTGCACTCAATCCGGTATCATCACAAATGGTATCATTGCCTGTAAGCGAAAAAATCCTGATGGATGCAAATGATAAAAATTTATGGCAAAACCATAGCCAGGCACTGCATGTGGCAGTCCACTATTCCACCACAGTCATGCCGGCATTACAAACTGGTTCAGAAAAACATCCTATGGTTGTCATGTTAGGCTAGGAATCCCATTGGCAGCTAGTATATTTAATATGGCAGAAGCTTTGATTTGCAGCAGGTGACCTCAAAAAATGTCAGGCCTGTGCGGAAGGCACAGGCCTGGCATTTTTTGTCATTCTTCTGAGAAGCATGGTATACGTTACACACTTGCAAGAAATTTTGTGCCAATTGTCCATGCAGAGGCTGATGGATGTATAATTTTATTATGGTCCTTTGGTGCGTGTGTTTAGCGAGCAGTGGGCTGCTTTCATAATGCAATGGGTTGGAGCATTGGATGATCCGACCACTACGATATTTGCATTGTGCGATGACTGGTTGTTCTTTCGCTGTTTTAAAACGCTTTTAAGTCATATCAACTTGATTGCTTTTCCGACATCAGCTTGCCTAAGGCAAATTTGCCAACAACTCCCAAGCACCGGCTTGGCTTAGAGGTAGAATACTGGGCTGTCAGTCAGCGGACTCGGGTTTGAGTCTCTCTGTTATTTGGTACTAGGTATTCTTTTTCTAATTTTGTGTGATGTGGTTACAGACACCGCCGGCGGCGGACAACTACGGCACAGCGCGTGACCAGTTTTGATCTCATCACAGCTTTCACTGTTAAAGTGCATAATAAGCGTGTTGTTGAAAGCTGCCCACCTAATACAAAAGCCTCAGCCCTGATTTATCATCAGCTACGGAATCAGTTAGTGTACATTCAAGAAGGTGCCCATATACCCTTGCAGAGGCATAATGGGTGCTTTGCAAATGTGCTTGCAGTAGGTACCCTAAACGAGTTTACAACGGCAAGTGTTACATGCACCAAGTATTCTTTTTCTCACGAGATGGTTGAGGTGCCCATCGAGCAGAGAAACACGGGAAGTGAATGAGATGACGAAGTATTTGAGGCCTGATAATTCTGTGTTTCTGCTAAGGGCAAAGGTCAAGTCCGAGAAGTGTTTATTCAGCTTACGCGCTTAACTGTTACACAGAAAACTGATTAATAGATAATAATTAGCGTGTTTAAATCAGTGTAAGGCCGGCTCAGTTTTCACCATAATTTCAGTTCCAGATATGTATTTGCTTGGTGGGCTTTCCACCTCAATGCAGTTACCACTACTGTTCGTTGATTGCACATATTTTGACAAAACATTTGCTGCTAGGAACTCTTCACACTGGGAACAATGAAAATTCATAACTGAATAAATGCTTTATTACACTACATTGATCTTCAAGGAAGATGTTTTGGAAGCCGCTAGACCATCTTGAACATTCTGTCCTTGTATGCAATTTCGCCGGTTCTGCACTTCCGCTCAAACTCTCGCTGCAAAAAAAGAAAAAGAAAGATAAGGATGCACGTTTTACTCATGTTTACTCATTTTTATGTTATTCAAGCTGTAATATGTTAACACCAATTTTTATGTTATTCCATCTGTGATATGTTAACAAGACACACTAGAATTTCATAAATGAGGCATAAAAAGATATACTTTGAGCTCTTTGATAGCAGTGAACCCACTCCTGCACCAACTGAGATTTACTGCGCCATCCTGATAATATCAACCAACATTGCGCCAAACTGCACCGAAGTCGGATTTGGGAGCGTCTATCACCGGCAATAGCCACGCCGACACGTCAGAACATGCGCATCTTGTTCTCAAGGCCACCAAACTCACAGTCGGGTGCCTAGAATTATTTCGCTGAATTAACAGTGGTAGCGCGTGTGTCCTAAGTAATCCACAATGTTATGTCTGCCGATGCAACTTCCGTTGTGCAAGTCCGCTTAACAATAAAACGCGCTCTCCGTGGGGGTTTGTGACATTTATCCAATCAGTGCGTGAAACTGTGGCGGTGATTCATCCGACTTCTTGATATCGCTAACTGATTTCCCGCGCTTTGCGTCCACAGAAAAGCACATGCATGGTGTAAGCGTGTTGACAATTATAGTTTAATATACTTCATTCATGGATCCTCATTCAGAAGTACATTTTCCTAATTTCCTCCACCAGCACATGTGCATTTGTAATCGCTGTTGCGGTAAAAGCTCCTAAAACACCCTACGATTTTGAATCCGAGATCACTAGGGTCCGTATTCAGAATTTTTGCACACTTCTTTAATGTTATCTCAATATTAAAAGCGTGCTTCCTGGTCAGATAAGCCAAAATTCAGTTTTAATACGTGCAGCTTTTAATAGGGAGGCTATCTCTGCCGGCTTTGGTGTCGGAAGGCCCACAATGAAGCAGCTACGCCTTGTTACACGTCTGGCTCTCGCTTTCCAAAGTCAATAGGTGACGGTTAAAAAAATTAAACATCACGTCACCGCACTCATTGCTTCATTTTTTGTTTTTTGGGGGTAGAGGTGTGCGTGAAAGCTGCGTTGCTTGAAGGGTGAATTTGCGAGCGCTATCTAATGACACATGCTCGTAAACTTTCTGTGCTACTAGAACCTTTGCTTCGCATTTAGATAACTGACAGGGCAAAAACTGCTCCGGCAATTAATGTGATCATTGTCCCTTTGGCCAGTCTTCATCTGAGTTATGCAACGTCGTGTCTAAAAGATACAATTTGTTAGTTTCACTTAGACCCTTAGCAATGAATGTGATACCAACAGTCCGTTTGCATTGAGAGTACAAGACAGAAGGGTATTACCGTCGTATTTAATGCCTGCCGAATTAGCGCAAGTGCCAGTGATCACACCCAAAGTTCGTAGTGCTTTTTCCTCTCTTTAAACTTTGCACCTCCTCCTACCACTCTCGCCATGTCAATGCGGTGGCGTGTAATGGCCACCACATCCCATTTCATTGCTGCTACTGGTTTTCAGACGTTGGTTGTACTAGAGGACCTGGTTGAGCCTCATAGGGTAAAGAAAGGCCATTGTTGCCCTGTGACACAAATAACAGTCTTAAACCACATTCGAAAACGAAATTAGAGCTAAATAGTATTCATAGGTGTGCCAATTTTGAAAATAGGCATTTATAGGTGCTATAAAAACACTTGAAAAACCCATTTAACTACTAATTCATGTTCTCATATCAAAGTTGCACGCCAGGAACCCAAGGAGCAAACTAGGCATTTGTCTTCTCTAGTGATTAGCTACAACATCTGCAAACATAACTAAAATTAAGACCCATGGACTTCAAAGAAAAAGTGATGCCACTGCGAATAACTGAAGTTAATTCAGTTCATGGCCTGTTTAAACTTGATCCTTCCCTTGTTATTCACAGCAGCATCACATTTTCTTAGAAGTTCGTGTGGCTTGTGTTGGCAGATTAAAGGACTCAGGAAGACACGCATAAGTGGCTTCAACAGAAAGGAGGCAACAGGCAATTTTACTACTGGTGATGGGGCCATAATACATACCCTGTCCTTATAGACAAAATATCCAAGAACAAGCATGGGCAAGAAGGTTGCAGCGAAAAACTGGAAGCCTCCCTTTGGGGTTGGACGAAAGTGCTCATATATCATGCTGTGAGAACGAGCTGCTTGATGACGCATCATCTGGGGGTCAAACTGGTCATAAAGGAAGCAAGACAGCAATGAGTAAATAGAAAAGTCATCTATCAGATCATAGAACTAAGCAACTGAAGTTCTACAAACTGACTTCACAGGGCCCAATAAATCATAGAAACCTTTTCTAAAATAGAGTGTCCCAGTTGGTACACCTTTGTGTTGGTGTTGTGCCAAGTTTTAAGGCTAAAAAAGTAAGAGACTGAGAGATGAAGGTGTAATAAAACACATTTTCCACCTTTGTCTGGGTCTTTTGATTGAGTGCTATGTAGAGTTTAACCCTTTATGGGACAGTGGGACATTTACAACCCACTTTTTGACTGCAGTTTTAAAAGCCGCGCCACACCAAAACCACCGCCGCTGTTTAGCTGAGACTGCTGTCGCCATCTGGTGAGTGTCTAACCTAACGTTTTTAAACATTATTTTCTACGAAGCTCTAGGTTTTTAGCTGAGACTGCTGTCGCCATCTGGTGAGTGTCTAACCTAACGTTTTTAAACATTAATTTCTACGAAGCTCTAGGGGGCAGCACAATACAATGTTTCATTCGAAGCGTTCCGAATTCGTTTACCGCGCTCAGTTTCGCGGGTATTTTGAGTCGACGTGCACTAAATACACAATGACAAGTAAGTGTGAAAGTTTTATTTCTCGTGTGGGTTTCTGTATAGAATCACTGTGTTATGTTTTCTGATTTTATTGTCGTACTGGCTACCCGGAAAGTTGTGCAACATGAGTGACGCAACTCAGAGCTGGCGAAATTTCCTAGGCCTAATTTTCTTTTCGCTTACGTCGGAATTTTAGCGCGCTATTGCATTCTCTTTTCATTCCAGGGAGGTCGCTATCAGTTGAAGAAGCGGTTGAGCTTCTGTTCAGGCTTCCAGATGATCCTCGAGAAAGCGACATCGAGAGTGAACTTGCAGACAGTGAGAATGAAGTTGTGCCCGCGCTGGCTCCGGTCGAGGAAAGTGACTCAGATGACAACGCGCTTGATCAGCCATCCACAAGCACAGGAAAAAGGAGGCGATCATCGTACGTCAGGAAGAAGCCCAAAAAAAGGAAAAGACGCCCGAGATGTCCTGAGCCAGTCCAATCGGATAACTCTGACAGCCGAGATGTTGCCTCGGAAGGAACCGCTTTGTGGTCTACAGCTCTTCCGGTTCTCAACAATCGCTCTGTGAGTAGCCTGGAACCGCAGTATTCAAGCAAATTGTCCTCATCTTGTACACCATCCGAGTCATTCAGCCTGTACTTCAATGATGATGTACTTGAAATGATCGTGCTTGAAACAAACCGCTATGCCAGGCAGGAGGCTCGAAGAGGGTGGCACGATCTAACAAAAGGTGAACTGAAAGCCTATTTGGGCATTCTTATTTTGATGAGCGTAAATCCTGCGCACCATCTGTACCTCTACTGGAGTAGCGACAGCTTTTTCAATGTGAAGGAGATATCCAGTGTGATGACATTCAAGAGGTTTCAAGCCATTATGAACTCACTGCACTTTTACGACAATGAGAAGATAAAAAGTAAAGGTGAAGAGGGTTTTGATAGACTGGCCAAAATACGACCTCTTGTGGACACCTTGAACAAAAAGTTTCTTCAAGAGTACAAGCCTTCTGGCCACCAGGCAATTGACGAAAGAATGGTGCGTTTCAAAGGACGATCGGCTTTGAAACAGTATGCCCCCATGAAACCAATCAAACGCGGGTACAAGGTATGGTGTAGAGCGGACTCTGTGACTGGCTACCTCTGCGAGTTTCAAATATATGAAGGGAAGTCTGCAGAAAGAGAGGCTGGTTGTACACTTGGAGAACATGTCGTTCTTTCTCTTTGCAACAATGTTGACGAAGACAGTACGCTCTACTTTGATAACTTCTTCACTACGACCAAGCTCATGGAAGAGCTTTCAGAAAAACAAATTATGGCAGCAGGCACGGTTAGAACAAATAGGAAGGATTTACCTCATGAAATCAAAGTGGACGAGAAATTGAAGAGAGGGGACTATGTTTGGCGATCAAAGGGCCAATTGACGGCGTACCAGTGGCGTCACAACCGAAATGTGACGATGCTGTCAAACTTCCATGATCCATCTGAGGTGGTTGAAGTGAACCGGACGCTTTCTAATGGAGCCAAGGTGGGCGTGACATGCCCCAAAGTAGTCTCTGACTACAATAAGTTCATGGGGGCACCGATTCGACCAAAAGCGTAACGCATATATGTGCGACCGTAGGTCGAAAAAGGGTTGGTACAGACTCTTCTATTACCTCTTAGATGCAGCTGTAGTCAACGCTTTCATTCAGCATTGCCACTTCACACCAAACGAATACTTGTGGTTTCGTCTTGCCCTTGGAAGGGAGCTTATCAGCGGTCAGAGCTTCAGGAAAAAGACGGCCATTCCCGCTTTTCAGCACAAGAAGCGTGGACGTCAGTCTGGACAGAAGATGGTGGGCGTTCCTGGAGAAATCAGATTTCACAAAGGTGACCACCACCCTGTGAAGACAACCGGACGTAAACGGTGCAGGTGGTGTTCTACCAAGGCGAAGGAAATTAGGACGGCACTTGTATGCAAAGTCTGCAACGTGCCGTTGTGTGCTACATGTTTCCTGCCTTTTCATAACGGAAAGTGAAGGTTTTCATACAGCCAGACGTTGCTGTTTGCAAGAGTGCAATTTTGAATAAATTTAGTACCCACATTTTTTTTATTGCCAACAGCCCTGTCGAATGTGGTTACTGGGATCATATTGTCCCACATTCTCTGGTTGTCTGAACAACCAGTGGGACATATGCGTCCCACTTTTTTTGAGTCCCCCTTTGCACTGACGAAACTAAAATTTTATATGTCACGTAGTGATGTAGTAACCATCAGTTTTATACAGACAAAATGAATTGATCGTGTTTTTTCTCATTGTGTCCCATAAAGGGTTAACATCCCAAATCCACCATATGATTATGAGAGATGCCGTAGTGGAGAGCTCTGAAAATTTTGACCACCTGGTGTTCTGAGCACACAGGCCTACAGCATTTCTGTCTCCATCGAAAATGCAGCCGTCGCAGCCGGGATTCGATTCGATCCCGCGACCTGTGGGTCAGAAGCCGAGTACCTTAGCAACTAGAACAGCATGACGGGGTTTTTTCTGGGTTTTTTGTTTTTGCAGCATTGAAGCTCAGCACAACACAATTCTAAGCATACTACAGTGGCTGTCACAGTTCGCATAATAAGGAATGTGACCTACAAGTTTGCAAAGACTCGTGATGCACTAAATTAGTCTAGTTCAGTAGAGCTTCACCTATGTTGAATAAAAGCTTGTTCAACCCACAGTTCTCTCACATTTGAAATGACCTCACAAATGTTGTGTATCAATCGAAAAAAACCCAAATAGCAGCTATACCAACCTCTGTCCCAAGAAGAATGAAATATCTGTGAAATCAAGTTGGTTGTATTGAGTTCCTTCAGTTTTGCATCCTTTTTCGACACCGGTTTGACACTGGGTGGGTTGCAGGTGAAAAACTATGCCTAAGCAGCTGCTGTATGGCTTAACATAGCTCATCGTTTAAAACTGTTGGTTCTAAAGTTATAGTAAAAAGTCAGTTAATTTAAGGTCTTTTCTAATCCGAGGACCCTTTCCTTTCATGCTGGTGACTGCAATTTTCTGCATGCTGGCGACTGCAAGAAAAATTCCTGCGAATTCTTTTACTTTGCCACATCGGCTCCTTCCACTTTGCTTGGGAACAGCTCTCCGAAATTTCTTTGCATTGTGCGCTCACATTCAGTACGAATATGTGGCAAATTTTCGCTTGGGATTTTTCATCTTGCTGTCTTTTAAACGCTAAAAGGTACATTTCAATCAATGTGAGCACCATGGCACTAAGTAAAGCAATACCGGTGTCATAGGAATACTTTTTATCAGGACCCGAAACGAATTGGATTTCTTTGCCGCGATCCACGATCACATACTGGTCGCTGTTACACGGCACACATCACTCGAGTCGCGATTGGGAGCCAGATACCGGTCCTCATCGCGATGTAAGTGCGGTGTGACACCGGTGTGGTCAAGTGATGGTGATACATAGACAGGTGTGAGAACGAAAGTAAGCGCACATGTGAAATGAAATAATGAACACCAGTCAAATGTATGTAGTGACCTGAGTGTAAGTGAGAACATATATGGCCTGTTAAAGTACTGGATAGCTACTTTTGGCTTTACTGCTGTAGGTTCTTTTTCACACTGGTTTCGACGAGTCGACCTTCGCACTCAACTGAACGTGAGAACTCACCAAGGTGCCTCCCGAACCATGTTTGTGCGGATCCGTGAGTTGGCGTAGGTACTCTTGCCTCAGCTGTGCCTTGAGCTTTGCCCGTTCTTCAACCAAACGTTTCTCCTCGGGCGTGAGGTCGGTCTCAACGCGAATAGAGGACGGCACTCGGTAGGCCATGCTGGTACGGCACCACAGAACACCTACCAGTTTACGGCACCACGGTACTGAGACGACCTGTCTAAGAACTGGACAAGTTGGCCAAAGGAGCAGCCTCCACGCGGGTCTATTGCTGTGAACAGCCACGCTGCGGCGCTACTGGCGCTACCGCGCCGAATCCGTGGACTTTTAAAGCTCAGAAAGTGCGCGAGAATCAGCGAGTGTCTCCTACGCGCTGTAAATTTTATCGTTCACTTTCGACGACAGGGGGTACAACGTAAAACTTGAAGCATCAGCTTCGTCATAAGGGTGTTTCAATGAATGTGATAGCAACAAATTGGAATTAAGAAACGTGGCCGCGTTAGTGAGATGTAATTACCCTTTGTGCTTATTTCTATGACTTCAAGGCAAACTTTGCTCTGCGAGTTTAATACGTTTGAAGGTTACATGGACCGTCTGTTAGCTGCATCAACTCTCGCCAGATATGGTGCACAAGACCGTGGCTACGTCACACCCGCGGCCGCCCGCGCCCGGTCGCTCGAAAGTACGCAAAGACGCAGCACACCCCTTCCCCCCCCCCCCCTTCCGCCTGACCTTCAGGTCCCATATCTTCATGCGCCTTCCGTTTTCTCTCTGCTTATGCGACGGGTAGGGCGATGTTATCGATTAGCCCTTTATTTTTGGAACATCAAAGCGACTGCTCAAAAGCGCCCAGAGCTTCCAGCACGTACTCCGTCCGCGCTAGTGGGCCTCCTCTCAACAATCACGTGACGGCACAGTGGCGCATTGCAAAAGTTCCGCCCAGGCACCCTTCCTCCGTGCGCCCAGGTCAGGTTGCGTCGCCATGTAGCTGTGGCCCCTCCTCTTACACTCTCTCTATCAGTAGTCACGTACAGTGGCGGCCGGCGTCCGACTGGCTGTCCACCCATGCCCCCCTCACACTTTCTCAGAAATCACACGATGGCACAACGGCATGCGTGCAATGCTGTGTCGTCGGACGTATCACAGGCGTATCACAGCCTTCCCAAGTGGCCGAGTGATGATTTTACCGCAATCGGTTTGGAGAAGTGCACCAAGAATGTGAATTCGCCCCGATATCAAACGCATAAGGTGGACAATGCGGGGGGGGGGGGGGGGGGGGCTTGGCTTGGTGTCTCTTTGGGCTGCGTCATGGAGGGGGGAGGGCAGCGCCCTCGCAGGCACTGGCTCGGGATAATTTTGAAGAGCTTGGCTTAAGATCCCATCTGCCACTAGCGGACTCTTACTTATAGCCATCCTGTCTTGCAGATGTATTTTACAGGGGACTGTATATGCTCAATCCTTTTCCTTTGAGGCTTTTAAAGTTCGGATCATGGGGCAGTGACAGTAGGGAACCTGGTGCCGTGATCGCATTAAGAATTACGAAGTCACAGGATGACGAAAATCATGGCATTCGTATGGCCCTTGTGCAATAAAATAACTTTGGCATGTACGTGTATGCATAAAGAAATGAGTCTTTTTAACAGACTCATTTCATAACAGACATTAATTATCTCCCAATAAGTTTTTCTCCCTCTCTTGCAACGTATATATATATATATAGTGAAGTAGATCCTTCGTGAGAACAGTAACAACAGAAGGGTTTATTTCAAAAGCTTTGGCTAGAGTCTGGCCTTCATCAGGAATGAGGGTACATGTTGTTCACTCTCAAATTTATATTTTGTGCAAAAAAATGAGAGAGGAAGAACAGCAAAAACAGAGTGGAGAAAAGACAAAAAAGAGGGAGCGGAAAGAGAGAGGGGAGAGAGCAAACATAGTGGAGAAATTTCTAAGGGTCACTGCGCTATGCGAGTAGCATTGTGAGTGTTTGTTTTCTAGAAGCATTGTGTTAAGTGTGTTTAGGTAACGGTACCTTTAATGTAGATGGTGGCTGGCTCAGGTAAGGGCATGCACGTTGTATCAACGTGTCCTCGACTTTTATTTTTTTTGCCAATCGTCACTAATCGGTGGCCCGGGCTGTGGTGGGACTGTCGGTTGACGTCTTTCTTCTAAGCTTCCTTCTGCATGATCGAGACGGTGTCCCTGTACGACGCCGTCAGTCGGGTGAACAACAACTTTATTGCAGTTGGGTTAGTGCTATATAAAGAGATGCGTGACGTAACATGTCACGTGATTACGGGTGTTATCTGATGGCTGCACGTCCAGCGGGGTTTCATCTTCCTTTTATTGTAGCGCAAATTAATTATGCCTTTCAGGCTGTGGGTATCGACAGGGCTGGTGGCAAGCTCTTGTGCTTCGGCGAAGCTCTCGAGGAAAGTGGTCTTCTCTGGGGCCTTCGTCGCTGTGGGTTGTCCTGTGCCGCAGGTGCTCTCTTGTGCGCCTGAATTCTCGACCCTCTTCTGTTTTAAGGATCGCTGACCGGAGCGTGCTGGCTGACCTCAGAAAAACCGCCGGTGACCATGTTCGCTGGAGGGTGTCGTATGCGGACACTGGCTGGCCTGGAGACAGGGCCGGCAGATCCATCGTTCCGCGGTTGTATAAACATTCTGACGTTGACGGATCTCTCTGAGCTTGTTATGAACAGCTTTGCTAGGTACTGCTTCTGGTTCCAGGTGGCTGTTAGATACAGGCAGGAGGGTCCTGGTTTGCCGTCCCATGAGTCTCTGCACAGGGGACTTTAGCACATCATCTCTGGGGGTATTGCGCCATTCTAGCAATGCCATATAAAAATCAACCCAGTTGCGCGCACATTTCTTTCGGAGCTTTTTAGCTTCCTGTACGGCTCTTTTCGTCATACCATTGGTGCGAGGTGATAAGGGCTTGTCGTAATATGGGTAACGCCTATTTGTCGCAAGAACTCTTTGAAAAGGTGGCTGTTGAATTGTGGGCAATTATTATAGCAAAGCTGCGACGGTAAGCCATGTGTGGCGAACAATTCTGTGCACCATACTGTCAGAGCACTAGCAGTGCTCTGCCGGAGTTCACGGATTTCGAAAAAGGAAGAATAGAAGTCCACTATTATGGCACATTCACGGCCTTCATGAAAAACAAGTCCATGCCAACAAATTCCCACGGCAGTTCTGGGATGTCGTGGCTGTGAAGAGGCATTTTGGCATTCTGCGTTTGATACTTGTGACAGACCTTGCAGTTTTTGCAAAATTGCTCTATTTCACGCGAAATATTTGGCCAGTACATTATGTCTCTTGCCCTCGCCTTCATCTTTTCAACTCCCGGGTGCGCAGCGTGAAGCAGCAACATAATTTCTTGTTTCTGTGAGGTTGCTATAATTACCTTGTTGCTGCGAAAAACAAGACCATCCTGTATGTGTAGCTCCTCCTTGTAGGACCAGTACTGACGAACACTTTCGGGCACCTCGCTCTTTTCAGGCCAGCTTGTTTCGGCGTAACCTCGAAGTTTGACCAGGGCCGGATCTTTATTCGTTGCAGCACGAAGATCCCTCAGGTGCTGCTGAGAAGCTGAAATGTACTCAAGCACATTCACTTGAAATTGCTTTGTTTCTTCTTGATGATTGATATGTGGGGGTTAACCTCCCAAAACCACCATATGATTATGAGAGACGCCGTAGTGGAGGGCTCCGGAAATTTCGACCACCTGGGGTTCTTTAACGTGCACCCAAATCTGAGCACACGGGCCTACGACATTTCCGCCTCCATCGGAAATGCAGCCGCCGCAGCCGGGATTAAAACCCGCGACCTGCGGGTCAGCAGCTGAGTACCTTAGCCACTAGACCACCGCGGCGGGGCGCTCTGTTTCTTCTTGCATGAGCTGTTCACTGGGAAACCTAGATAAGGCGGCAGCTAGGAAGAGCTCTTTCCCTGGCTTGTAGATCAATGTAATAGGATATCGTTGCAAAGTCAAACGCATGCTGTAAGCGAAGCGGACATTGATAAAGCGGTTTGCTGAATATCGGCACCAAGGGGCGGTGATCGGTCTCAACGATCACAGTTTCTTGGCCGAAGATGTAATCGTGAAACTTGACGCAACCCTGTACAATTGCCAATGTTTACTTTTCAGTTTGAGCGTAGCGTTGCTGCGCCTCTGTTAGTGAACGTGGCGAGCATGCGACAGGACGACCGTCTTGAATAAGCACAGCGCCAACTCTCTTTTGGCTGGCGTCAACCGAGAGGGTTACTGGCTTATTTGCGTTGAAGAAAGCAAGAACTGGTGCATTTGCTAAGCTTTCACGCAACATTTCTTAACTTCACTGCTGAGAGTCAGTCCAAACCCATGCAATGTCTTTGTGCAGCAATGTTCTTAGCGGGGCTGTCACGTCAGACATGCTAAGAATGAAGCGCTGTACATAATTCATCATGCCTAAAAATACTAGGAGTTCCTTACAATTCCTTGGCTTTTCCATTTCCAGTATGTCTTTCACTCGACCTGGGTCTAGGCGGAGGCCTTCAGTGCTAAGAATGTGCCCGAGGTAGCGGACTTCAGGCTGCAAAAAAGTGCATTTCTTTAGGTTAAGCTTGAGGTTGTTTTCACGACCGCGTAACAACAAATGTGACAGGTTGTTGTCGTGCTCCTCTTTTGTGCGGCCCCAAAGCAATATGTCATCCATTATCACGGCTACGCACGGCAAGCCTTCCAGCATGCAATGCATAGCTGCTTGAAATATTCCTGGGGCAGACGCGATGCCGAAGGGCATTCGAAGAAACCGATAACGCCCATACGGCGTGCTCATCGTACAGAATTTTGAGCTTGATTCGGTTAGCTTAATTTGCCAGAACCCTGACGCCGCATCAAGCGTTGAGAAGTACTTGGCACCGGATAGTTGCGAGGCTGCGTCTTCTAAGGTTGGCATTGGATAATGCTCCCGCAGCAGCATTTTGTTAAGCGCTGTAGGATCCAGGCAAATTCTAACCTTGTCCTTCTTTACAACTGTCACCATATGGCTAGACCACTCGGTTGGCTCGGTTAGCTTTGTGATGACGTTCTGGGATTCCATGCGCTGCAGCTCAGCCTTGACTTTGTCCTAAAGAGCTACGGGAACTCTTCTCGCCGGAACGACGACTCCCACTACGTTTGGCTTGAGCTTCATGTCATACTCGAAGTCTTTTAGCTGCCCGAGTCCTTCAAAGACGTCTGCGAAAGATTGTACTGGCGGGTTACACTTATTTCTCCACTTATTTCTCTGAAGTGCTCTTTGCCTTGTTCCAGCGCTCGGCACATGTCGACAGTCTTTTCGTACGTCGGGTTTTCCGCTATTAATCTTTGCTGGAGGCTCTTATCCGTTGTGCCCAGAATGATTCGGCTGCGCAACATGCGATCTTCGAGACCCGAATTCACAGTTCTTCGCCAACACACGCAGTTCTGTTAGTCACTCGTTAAATGGTTCACCTGTCTTTTGGTTTCATGAACCGAAAATAAATTATTGAAATGTCAAGTTGGTCGCGGGCCTGTAGTGCTCTTCATATTTCTTAATCAGGACTCCCACATCATTTCTGTCTTCCGCTTCCTCGAACTTGAAGGTACTGTATGCCTTTCGAGCTTCTTCGCCTATGGTAACTAGCAAAGTGGCTGCTTGAACATCCTTTGGCAGTGTGTTCGGTTTCGTAGCAGCGGAAAGCTGCAGAAACTTACTTTTACAAGTTTTCCAGGCAATCCCAAGGTCCTGTGACGCCTCCATGGGCTTCGGGGGTGGTAATAACGCTGACGCCATTGATGCATCAGGTGGGTTCCGCTGCCACCATGTAGCGACGCCGTCCGTCGGGTGAACAAGAACTTTATTGCAGTTGGGTTAGTGATATAAAGAGATGCGTGACATAACATGTCACGTAATTACGGGTGTTATCTGATGGCTGCACGTCCAGCCGGGTTACAGTCCCGATGCTCCTGTGAGGCAGCGTGGGCACAAAAGGTTTCCAAGGAGCTGTCTCGCTTCAAGGGGGCACCGCGTAGTGTCGCCAGAAGGGAATTGGCCTTTAAAGTTAATACTATTTAGTTCTGAGAATCCACCTTCAGAGACTCTTAGTTGTCTATGTGGTGGCAGTTAAATGCGAGGCTGACTACCATTGATCGGTTAGTAAGATAGATTGAAACAGACAGCATCATATAGTGCATTAGAAAGGGTGACAGATATTTACAATTGTCTAGTCCTCATCACAGTTACAGTGCCACAAGATCTTGAAATGTCATGATTACTATTATTATTTTACAATGCTTTAATTGCTGCAAGTTTACCCAGACACTCATTAACGCCTCTTTCGAGGGCACTAAATCGGTGTTTGAGGTACGACTCATGCTGTCCACACTCCTGGTTTGATTTAAATCCCGTGTCTAAAAGTGCGATTGACAATTTGTCGAATGAATGGCCTGGAAGGTTAATGTGTTTTGATAGAGGTAGATTTGGGGCTGATATTGCAGGGGTATGTGATTCTTGAAATGAATCCTAAAGGGTGTTTCTGTTTGTCCGATGTACATATTGCACACGACGCATTCTAGTAGATGTACCTTATTAGAGGAATCGCATGTTAGATTTCGATCCTCATAGATGTTAATTGAAAACTTGGATTGTGTGCTGGCTTCCTTGCTTGTCCCTCATCGCTCTGCATACAAGACATCGAGACTTTAGATAAGGTCGGCATGAACTGTTGAAAGTTGAAGTATATGATTTGGGAGTTTACAAGTGTGTCCTCGAGGTTCCGGGTTCGCCGGTAAACGATGCCAAAAGCCCATGGCAATGCGACTTCAGATTTTCACTTGGTTCTAGTATGTTGTAATGTCCTTAAAGGATTCTGTTAAGGTTCGGGAAGTTCATGCTCTAAGTTAAACACAGGCTTGTCTGTTGCAGGTTGTGTTGTGGTTCGTCTGCTTCCCGCACGTGCCTGCTTGTGCTACGCGACCGACGCACCGAGTTTCCGCCTTTTGCCGGCATGATTGGAGACGCTCATCTAAAGAAGATGCGCCAAGCGTACGACAAGAAACGGAGGCGCCCGTGGAACGCCCGCCAGAAGAAAACAGACGACAACGTGCAGCCGATTTCGCCTGATGCCGCCGAAGCGGCGCATTCCGACGACGGCGCGCAGCCGCGGCCGCGTGTGTCCGAAGCAGTGCACTCTCCTGTGCCTTGCAGCAGCACCTCATCGGATTGTGTCGTCGTCGGATCGTCATCTTGCACTTCCAGCAGCATCCTAGACCGCATTGACACGGCGTTTTATTCGGCGGACGAGTTTGCCGAGTTCGCGAGAAATGCAGCGGGCTTGAAGGCATCACTCGCATCGCAGTGCGCGACGGAACGTAAGTTCGAGTTACTAGATATTGATCTGGAGGATGGTGGCAAAGAAAACGGGACAGAATATGTTATTGTTGATCTGGCGGCGATACGCTCGTTATTTGGACTTGTCGCGTGCCCAGAATGCGGTGATAGAAGCGTCAAAGGCCAAGAAAGAGAACGGGCTGTGTTCGAAGCTCATAGTAACGTGCGGCAGTTGTGACTTTCGCGAAGAGCGGTTTTCGTCCCCACATATAGCCGATGAGACCGACGCCAAAATAAGGCCGTTTGAAGTTAATATGCGTGCTATGAAGGCCATCAACAGTATCGGCAAGGGGGCAACGACTCTGTCGGACTTCTTCGCCGGGATGAATATTTCGCATCGAGGGCTTCACCATAAGAGTTACCAAAGCCACATGAATATAATGAAAGAAGCCTGCTGTGCGACTGCTGCCGAATGCGAAGCGGCGAGCGGTGCTCGCGTCAAGGAGCTCTGTGCGGAGTTCGGCAACGCGCCCGGAAACGTCGACGTCATTTATGACGGCACCTGGCTTACGCGTAGACATAGCTCGCATATATGTGTTGGCTGCATATTTGAGATGTATAGTGGCCTCGTATAGACCATATCGTGCTATCGAACTTTTGCCTGGCTTGCACCACAGGACCCAAGGAAGGAGAAGCAGGACATTCTGCCTGGCTCATTTAGCATGCCCCTCTGTGCCAGAAGAATGTTGATTGTAATGCTGGCCAGATGGAAGTGGAGGCACCACTACGCTTGTTTGATGGGTCACTTGAAAAGCACAAGCTTCGTTATACGACAATGCTGTTGGATGGCGACAGCAGGACATTCCATGCACTCACAGAAAAAGAGGTGTACGGCTTCATAAAGGTGGCCAAAAAGGACTGCTTAAATCATGTACACATGCGTATGGGAGCTGCCTAACATACACTTGCAGAGAAAAAAAAAAACTCAAGGTGGCTCACTTGGTGGAAAGGACAGACTTACGCAACAAAAGATAAAGAAGATCACCTCATACTATGGCTACGCATTGAGAAGCCACAGGAACGATGTTCCAGGTATGCAGAAGGCTGTTATAGCAACTTTGAACCACATGTCTTCAACTGACGAGGCACCAAAGCATGACCTTTGCCCTGAAGGCCCTGAATCCTGGTGCGAATTTCAGAGAGCTCTTGCGAAAAATGAGGAGCCGCCACCACACAAGGACAGCCTGCCCGATTTCGTAACTGAGGCATTGGAGCCTGTGTTTAGGCGGTCGAGCGACAATGCCCACTTGGAAAGGTGCAGCGATGGGATCACCCAGAACCCAAGTGAGAGCCTGCACGCTATGATTTGGCAGCAGGCCCCCAAAACTCAGCATGCATCCTTGCGGAGCTTTGAAAGGGCAGTTGCCGAAGCCATCGGCAGCTTTAACCAAGGCACAACCAAGAGCAACGTGGAAATTGCTGAGAAGCTGGGCTACAGCGCTGGCAATAACTTGGTGCGTCGCAGCCTTGAGGACAAGGGCAGGCTGCAAAAATCGCGAAGAGAGCATCTCAACAGCAGTTCAATAAAGGAAAGACTTTCAAAGCGTCACAAGCCAGCAGGGGACTCTGCTTACAGCCCTGGCCTGCTGTAAACAGTCATGATGGCAAATAGTGAGAATTTTTGTAAAAATAAATATTCTTGGTTATAGACCTAAAAATTGTGTAAATCTATTGTCTATCCAAGGACAACATTATTACATGATTTTTTTTGTGTTCCTTTCACTTGCAAGGCACTGGAATGACCACAAAGTAAAAAAATAATAATTCTCATGCTGAGTCAATGACTATTTTATAGTTCTAGAACAAGCTGTGAGCAGTATTCTGGGTGGGTACAGTGAAATTTAGCATGGCCATTTATCCTATAATATAGAGCTACAGAATGATGTCATTAATATCGCTGTAGCTTCACTTTAGCAAAAGTTAAAGTTGCTAGAAATTTCAAATGCGTTTTTCTCAGTTCGACGTTCTTGCACATTGCACTCGGCCTTACAAGGGTTTTTCCCATGTTAAACTTGAGTGAATGCGACAAAATTGGTATCATTTTATTCGGCTTGACATGATCTAGGGGGTGATGCTATTTCTATTTTTTTAGCATCACTTCAAAAATTACCATTGAAGATTTTTGTGAGAGAAATTTATTGTAATATAGTGACCATAAGTGTTCGTCCATTTTCTTGCTTATAAAATGCCTTCAAGTGGATAAAAATAGCATCACCCCCTACATCAAGTCTCCAGCATTGAAATTATGCAGCGCTGGATTATGCATTCACTTTTTGGATTTAGCAAGAATAAATTGCCATGAAGTCCTGTAAGAAGTACACAATTAAGATTCAGACCTTCATAATTTTTACACCACTTGAAATATTAAGAAACAAATTAGAGATTTGAAATCAGCATGAAAAACTAGCTTAGGTAGTGACGTTTGGTCAAGATTGAGCAAAAAATAAAAAAATTTTAGAACCCACGCCCCCCCTTAAGACGGTTAATGCGCTTAAGTTTTCTATCTTTTTGGACATCGTGTCAATAATTACATGCGGAGGATATTTTTGTTTATCGAGCATGAGCTCATGTTCGAGCTCACCTTTGTGAGCTCGTATTGAAATCAGCGTCTTTTGAGCAAATTCACTTAGAACTCGCAGCCCATTTGCTTGGCGTGCCCATCCAAAGCATTCTAAGTATCTTGGTGCGTGCACCGGCGAGCTGGCCCTTCCGCCGGCGAACTGCACTTCCAACAGGGGCGATACACTCGACCATTTTCTAACTTGAAAAAACAACAACAACAACAACAAAACGCACTGTTGAAGTGCACAGCACAGAAGGTCTTTATTGAGGTGATCATGTACAGTAGGTAATGGAAGAAAAAGCTTTTCTTTTAGCCATGGGGAAATACAAGAAGCTGTGCGTATGCTGGAAACATAGGAACGGCCAGCAGCAGTAGCTGCTCAATAGCGCTTGCTGCCGACATCGCTCCCACGCATGTGGCCCACTGGTGGGCGGCCGAAGTCGGATGGCCTTGGTGCCGTGGGTCCGAGGCTGCTCTTGCGGTACTCGTTGATTCGCAGACCACCACTGCCACCCAGACCACCATCTCCAAAGGAACTGCCACGACCCATGCCATAAGAGCTCTTCATGTCAACCCCAATGGGTGAGTAGGAATCCTGAGAATGATAAATAAGCACATTTACCAACTTGTTGGCCAATAGTCTTTGCAGGGTTCGTACAGGCTTTTAAGAATAAAATTCAAGCACTTTCAAGACCCTATAGGAGGATTTTCAAGGCCCTCTTTGACAGATTATTTCTTTGAGACTATTTTTTTTCCATGTCGGAAATCTTGAAACAATGGTTTCAAAATGTCTGAACATTTATTGCACAAACAAAAATATATATCACAACACCAATCTGCTTGTATTGCACGCAATAAAAAAAAATATAGGATTACCAAATGTCACCCAATATCACACTATAATCCTTCAAATGCACAAGGCATAAAAATCCTCAGGAAGCAGCTCCTCATAGCTACCCACTTACACATAGTACAATGCAATTCTGCTTGTATTGCATGCACTAAAAATAAATATGAAGCTTTAACAAGTATATGAATGCAAATTGCATCAAAAGCACAAAGCGCCAAAATCCTCATGCTTGCCAACTTCAGGCAAGCTCCAGTATCTTTTGCTGAATTTGGACTTGCGAGTGAATGTAGCTCACCAGTCTTCTCCTTTGCCGTCTTCTTTAAGCTATTTGATTTAACAATGTATGCCACGTCATTTCCTGCCTCTGCTTTTTCAGCATAGGCATCTGCACAAGCCATGAGATCATCAATTGTGGATTCTAGCCTTTGTACTTCCTCCTCGCTATAAAGCTTCAAGGTCCTGCTTTTTCTGGGCTTCCAGGTGCGCTACGTACTTGTGTCCAGCAGCTGACACTGCCATCATCAGTTCTCTCGTGATTGGAACCGGCAGAACAACACCTGCCTTCTCAACCGCATCACACAACTCGCTGTTCAACTGTTGCCTGGCCGTGACTCAGAACAAGCAGAAGCTTTACGATGCTCCATAACTCAGAGTAGCTTGAAATGAACTTCAAGAGATCAAGGCAAAACTCATCCAGCCTGCCTGCCAACACTCTTGTTAAATTGCCTAAGCTCCGTGTACTCGGCCAACACAGCGTCTTTAAAGTGTTCAGCTATTCTACGCGCAGCAATAAGGGCATCCAACACTTTTATAAAACTTGTAAGACATTCGTCGGACTTTGAACACATCTGTCATGGGTCTAGTGAATATAGGCCCCTAACAAATGCAAACTTCAAGGGGCTTCACCCTAGGACTTTCTTTGCGGCACTGATCAAAAACTGTTTACATTTCATCTGGAACTAAAACGCATCCTTTGAGCTTACTTCAGAATTCTTGATAATCTGCTGGGCCTATATCGATTTTTCAAGTGGAATGTGATTCTTGGCATTAGTGAGATCAATTTTCAGCAAGCCAAATTCCAAAAACTTTGAAAGCAGCTTTTTGAGAATAGCCTAATATCTTGCAAAAAAAAAAAAAAAAAACATCTATTGATTTGTCTGTCTCGTACTCGACCAGAAGAGGTTTCATAGCCATTGCAACACACAATGCAAGATTCAGCTTTGTTGGCAGCAGAGCATCACAGCTGAAGTTAAACAAGTTGTTCAACGAGGCACACTTTAGAAGATCGATATCTTTTTTTCTAGCAGCCTCAATGTACTTTCTCACGTCAAACCACAGCACCAGTGTTCTCTCAATAACAGGGAGATTCTCCAACCACCTCTGGGCAACAAACTTGAAAAGAAAAGGCCTGTACCGTTATTACTGGTGCACTTGCATGATTCTCGCACCCCCCACATCGCCCAACAAAAATACGATTTCTTCTTTTTTCTGGAGTAATTATCGCACCTCTGAAAACTGCCGCAATAACGTTGTCTGCTTGTTCCAGCAACTGACGATGATAGCGCGTGCCATCTCTTAATAAGCATCAAGCATACTATTATTGCACGGAGATTCAATCCAATCCAAGCCAAGCCAAAGTGGCAAGCGCGCGTTGCGGCGTGTTTTGTATGTTGTGTCGGTAATCTTGACACGTTATGAGGCGATACTAAAGCTACACATGGCTGCTTTCACGTTGAAAGTGATAGATGGTGATCTAATCAACGGCAACAGGGCTGCCGGTAGGCCTTTCGGAGCATACGAGTTTTGCGTTCGCTACTGGTGACGGCAGTTGAAAGCCACCAAGACGCGTTGGGCCTGTCCTGTGCCTAAAAGTGGGATTGATGGTAATCTTTATTTCTTCAGAAGGAAACTGCGAACGATTCTGTTAAATAGTTATCAGGGCTCCTGTCGAGGAATGAACGCTACTGCCACGCCTGCAACGCCCACAAGCTTTGCATATGGTATTCTAATTCTTGACTATTTGCTTGAACTTTTTGTGTCTCAAATAAATCTTGCCTTGTGTTGAGCCTGTGCTTTCATTATTGAGATAAGTTTTAATTGGTACTTCTCAAAGCTTGCTGTTAATCGAGATGATAATCTCGATTTGCGGCCGCTTCGTTTTCTTTTTCGCTCTGTACGTTTTCGTGGAACGTTTTCCCCGCGTAATTCTGCCACGCCCAACTTTGCATCGGCTTTCTGCAAAAAAAAAAAAAAAAAAGAGAGCGAGGATTATGCGAGTAAATACGGTAACTGTGCAGTCAGTGGCACATATTTTGTATTTCCAGAAGGAAGGGGGAGTACTTCATCCACATTTCACAGATGTTGCAGGAGCCGTACTAGTCATAGAATGGTACGTAGATCCAGTATTAGTCGTAGCACAGCACACCGTATTCATGTACGATTTGTCTAGCCTTGCGTGATTATTTGAATGCTTTGAATATTTGAACGACAATAACTACATTTGAATGAGCTTTGAATATAATTTAAATTTTTGAAAATTTTGGAGTACTCGAAATGAACATACTTCCCCTCACACATCTCTACAATACTAATAACACACGGTTTTCTGAAAATAGTAACTGTGTGCTTCCAAAAGTAAGCCCCAACTACGGCAAAATGACAGCCTTGTTTTCTGCAATTTCTTTCTGGAACTAACTACCATCAATTATTAAATCCAAGCCCCTCATTACATTGTTTCCGGCGGCATCTAAATCAGTCCTTACTAACAACATGCGACACCTGAATATATATGTATGTGTGTATATATATATATATATATATATATATATATATATATATATATATATATATATATGTTTAAATACAGTTATATGCATTTATGTGTACGTGTATAGGTTCTGAAGTGACACTGTATTAGTTAGTGATATGTATGTATTATGTTATAGTCATTTAATCCAATTAGTTATCTCCTGTTTTATCACTTACATGTAAATATTTTGAACTACCATAAGTTTCAATAATTATTTTGATTACGTTCATTTTGTTTTATTCGCTTGCAGTTTTTTCCTTAGTTGCCAATCTTTGTTCTATATTTTTATACATTGTGGGGATCTGAGGCGCGCCTGCGACCATTTCGCGGGCATTCCGCCACACGGCCACACCCTTTCGCTTTCCTGCTCTGTTAACACCACGTGGCGATAGATGGCGCCACGTGCGGGCACGGCGCGCGCCACTGCGCGCGCCGAGGGAGCGCTCTCTTCTCCGTTGGTCGGCGCCGGGTAAGCACGTGTTTTCCTTCGTCCGCGTCCCCTTTGGGAATCGCCGGACTGCAGCCTGCCTGGGGTGGCCTTGGGCACCTCGGCAGGCGTGTTTACTTGAGTGTTAGCTTCGGTAGCGTACGCTAAGCCCACAGCGGTGCCTAGTGCTTGAAGTGGTCGTACCACAACGAGCCGCACTTGCCGTAGGCCCAGCGCGTACGAGGTTTGCCCTAACACTCGCGACCAGGCCCAGTGGCCATCGTGAGAGTGCGCAGCATAGCCGCGAGGGACCTTTTCCTGACCGGCGTGTCAAAGCTCGCCATTGCCAGCTGCGACGTGCTCGCGGTTTTCCCCTTATTGTGAACGTCCGCGTGCGGGTGCCTTTGCTACCCGCGTCCCGGGAGCGGACGTTGTGCTGTTGTTCGGGGTGCCGCCAGAGGCAATAAAGTGTTGTGTACTGTTACATTAGAACACTGTCTATTTGCCGCGCCGCGCTAAACGCCTTATCAGTTGAGCGCGCGCGGAGCGGTGCGCTACACGCGAGTAAACGGAGTAGCGGCCCTGTGGCTCGCTAAGCGTGAACCCGCGGTGATCGTCCGCTGCAGTTAGGAGCGGGGTCACCATACTGGCGCCCAACGCGGTATCAAAGGCTCATTAAGCCTTTGATTAGTCTTAGCCGAGTCAGCCCGCCTTTGCGAATTAGACTTGCCGCGTTTACCCGCGTTATGTCTGCTCCGCGTGAGTTCTGTCCGCTGACGCTTTTAGCAGATACCGCATTGCTCGAGAACAGGGCCAGTGCCCCCCTTGAGCATCACAATCGCGCACCCTCACTTGTCACAAGCCCCAGTCGGGATGACACGAGGCACTACGTATCAGCTCCCATTGGAGAGGTAGCGCGTTTTGGGTCCAGGGCCATAGCCCAACCCGAACAGTGCACAAGGACATGGACTACTACTGCTCCCTTTGGAATGCATGGTAGTTCCATGTCACAGCGCTCCGAAACGGCTCTCAGTGGAGCTTCCGGGGCGCAGATCGGCACCGCGGCCTCAGCCGTTGCCGAATTTTGCCCGCTGGCTGCTACGCAACCTAGCAGCCAAGCTCATTTCGAGCACGCGCCTGTACCGCTAGCCGCAAGCGGCCTAGCATTTTCACGTGAAGCTGCCCCAAGAGTCGGCTGTGAAAAACAGGCGCTCCCCAGAGTCGCGACGGCCGGTATCCATTTTGAAACCGCGCCGCTTATCGAGCTCGGAGACAGTTCCCCATCGCTCGCCCGCGCCGCTAATGCACCGACAGCTTCCTTTGAAGCGGGCGCACAGACGCTGCTGCAAAATGCCGCCCAAATGATTCAGGCACTCACGGGGGCAGTCCAAACGCTTTCGGCCATTCCGAAACGCCCTCATCCCGCTGTCATGTTGGCCGTTCCGACCTACAGCGGGTATGGTGATCTGCAAAGTGCAAGAGATTACCTGGACTCCCTCGCACGTTATC